CCCCCCCCCCCCAACCTAGGCTATTTTTTTCGAGTGAACTGTGAAGATCTGTGAAAATAATATCAGGGTTTTCCGTCAGAACGAGCTTTGCCCTGCACTCAGGCGTAGCATAATCTGACCTGACACCTCCAACCATCTGTGCTATCTATCTGCCTTCTGATTTACCAGAGCTGTACAAGCCGCATACAAATTGTACTTGATACTAAAGAAAAGACAGCCGGGTCCAGTCCAGTTCGGAGGTGAATATTCCCATCTGATTCCTTTAGGGATGGACCCAACGATAGTTTTCCAGGCATTTTCAAAGGACTCCCCTCTCCCAATTATTTTCTTCACACTACACAAGCCCCTATCAAAGGCCCAGGTGAGATCATGGTTTCTTTTGACAGAGACCTCAGTAAATGGTATGATGTGGATGTCAATTGGGAATCAATAAAAGTTGCCAATTCAATCTGCTGGCCCTAAGGCAGAGCTGCCTAGAAGGCCCTTCCTCTCTGCAGGAGGGGTCAGTGCTCAGCAGCTTAGAAAGGGTTTTCTGCTCCACCACCACCCCCATTTCTGTGATTCCCCTTTCTCTACTTGTACTGAATTCCTCTGGGGCAAAAAGGCCAAGGTTACAGTTTCTATTCCCAGCTCAGCTCGAGTTAAATGTTCTAACACAGGGTAGGGCAAAATCAGCCTGCAAGAAGAGCAAATCAATATTTTTAAAAAAGATCTTTGAAATAAGCTTTTAAGTTGCTGTCCTGACCTACCCGTGACTTCTCACTCTAGATGTGGCTAGGCTGCACATTTGTTGAAGTCCATTAAACTGGGGCGGGGGGTTACTGCTGAAAAGTATAAACTTTTGGGGAGGTGCAACTCCCTTTCTTGAGTGTTTGACTTCATGGTCAACACCTGTGTTATCAGGTGTGACAGTTGTTCTAGCTCGTATTTAAAATGATTTCAGGAGGCTTTTGAAGATGGTGGGGATAGCCCAAACTGACCTCTTAACAGATCCCTGGTCCCGTTCCTTCTGCTTCAGATTCGCTTCCCACTCGGCTGCTTTGCAGCTGGAAAAGGGGAAAATGCATGCGGGGATGGATACTGGGGGGAAATGGGGTGATCTACTTCCCTCCCTCCCCATTCGTGCGCTCCCCCCAAAGTTTTCTGTTTCATTACAATTAAACTTGGCGAATTCTTGGAGGATTTCGATTTGGCCCAGTCCTCATTGTCCTCTGGAGACCTCTTGACCCAGGCAGCGCATCACTCCAAAGTGGATTCCTGTAGCACCACTGCCTCTTTTGGCAAGGGTGGGGGGCGGGGGTGGAGGAACAAGGCTGGATGAGGGTATTGAAAGGCTGCTGTTCTTGCCTTCCTCTTTCTCCCAGCCACTCTCCAGTGTTTTCCTCCTCCAGATTCTGCAAAATACTGAAGAAAAGTCCACGGGTAAACGGCGGGCGCTGTCGAGAGCGGGGAGGTGCTGAAATGACCCGGGCGCGCTGGTCGCAGTCTTGATTGGCAGAGAGAGCCAGTGACTGACAGGGGGTCTCCATGGCGCCCGCGCCGCCAATCCGCCCATACCAGTAGCGGCGCCAGTTCGCCGGCCTGCGTGCCCTAACGGAGCCGAGCCGAACCCGGGCGGCGGGGCCGGCACCTCCTCCAATCCCTCCTGCTCGCTCGCTCCCAGCCGTTGCGCCGCCGCGCTGCCCGGGTCGTGCGTCCCGGCTGCCCTAAGCCGCTTCACCGAGGAGAGCCTGGCGCACCCCGCCAGGCCCGCCGACATCTGCTGCGTGTCCGGTTCCGCTCTCCGCGCCCCCGCTGCAGTCGGCGCTGCCTCGATGTTCCAGTTGCCCATCTTGAATTTCAGTCCCCAGCAAGTGGCCGGGGTATGCGAGACTCTGGAGGAGAGCGGCGACGTAGAGCGCCTGGGTCGCTTCCTCTGGTCGCTGCCCGTGGCCCCTGCGGCCTGTGAGGCCCTCAACAAGAATGAATCGGTGCTGCGCGCGCGAGCCATCGTGGCCTTTCACGGCGGCAACTACCGCGAGCTCTATCATATCCTGGAAAACCACAAGTTCACCAAGGAGTCGCACGCCAAGCTGCAGGCGCTGTGGCTCGAAGCGCATTACCAGGAGGCTGAGAAGCTGCGTGGACGGCCCCTGGGGCCGGTGGACAAGTACCGCGTGAGGAAGAAGTTCCCGCTGCCGCGCACCATTTGGGACGGCGAACAGAAGACACACTGCTTCAAGGAGCGCACGAGGCATCTGCTACGGGAATGGTATCTGCAGGACCCATACCCTAACCCCAGCAAAAAGCGTGAGCTCGCCCAGGCAACCGGACTGACCCCTACGCAGGTGGGCAACTGGTTCAAAAACCGCCGACAAAGGGACCGGGCGGCTGCAGCCAAGAACAGGTCGGTACCTAGAGGCCTACGCTCCTTGCGCTCACCCTGGTGGGTCGGGCGAAGGCGCCCCAGGGGCCCTTTCCCAGGGCCCAGCGACTTGGATCCGAAGGAGTTGAGAGCTCAGTCTGTCTTCAGTTATGAGCCCACTGCGTTCTGGGATCCTGGGCGGGTAAGGGGGGCGGGGGGCGGGGGGAGTTCCTTCCGGGCTCTTGGTTCTCCATTCTCTCCCTCATTCTTGGAACTTAGGGGGTCGCCCCAGCCGCTGGTTCCAGTCATAAAACCAAGGCTGCATTGAAAAGAGGAAAGATTAAACATTAAAATGTGTAAACATTAAAATTCCAGCAACATTTAGGGACCCTCAAGGCCCAAAGCTAATTCTTGTCAGCCTGGGCCCAGGCTCCTATTAAGCGAAGCCTGACTTATTAGCAATGTGGCAGGTCAGTGTTGTCGTTTTAAAAGCCCAGATGCATTCTCTAATGATTTGAAAATAATTTTCGATAGACTTCTGGATGAAAGATGAGTTCTCTTTCTGCGTGGACAACTCTGCCTCAAAATAGCAAACTATAGTCAGTTGAGGTTTGTCGCTTCCTCAGCGTGTGGCTCTAAATTAGCCAAACATTTTGTCCAAGAACCCAGCCTCATCTCCCAGGACCAAATGCTCCATGCAATCCTCAGACAGCCCTTTTTGCCTTTAGCTTTGGTCCGACCGGCTTACTGTAGGGCACTGACAGGAGCGTGCGCCTGGAGGAGACGCACGATGGGAAATGGGTTCCCTATCCCGGAGCCCGATATGCCTTTGTCACCCACACTTCATTTATCTTGACAGTATTGTAAATCTCACAAAGGCGGCCAACAACCGCGAACGAACCTGTGAGCCCAGCATCTCAGATGGGGAGCCCAGAAAGGATTCAGAAGAAGGATGGGACAACTGCTGGGCTACTTGGAGAGGCGGCCAGCTGTGGAATCCTTCCTGGCTTCCGTTGCCTCACTTTTCCTACTTTAACTGCCGGGGTCTGTGGGAGATCCGCTAGCCTCTGGGCTTAAGGGAAG